AGTCAACCCTGAGCCGGTGAGATTTGAACCGCTAAACTGCTGATCTAGCAGTAGCCTGCAGTGCTGCATTTAACCACTTGGCTCTAGATGCATTTTTGAATGTTCAGTTGACTGAGTTTCATGTTTAATGAATAAAGTATAAAATAAAATAAGAGAATGGAAGGCACAGTCACGGTTCTTACCCCCACCCCCAGCCTATTTAGGAGAATCGTGCTTTTTTTCCCCCGATCCGGAAATTAACTCTTTTTCGAAATTCAGACGAAACTCTGCAAAGAGGCACGCTCGGAGCCCTCCGATTAGGAAAAAAATTCTGGGTTCGTTTGCAATTCAGATCAGGCGCCTTTTCCCGAAGTGGGAAACGAATTATAATCGGAAAAAAAACAAACCGCAGCGGCACAAAGGAATCCACCCCGCCCTCCCAACTCCCACACGGCGCAGGCGCACTCAGAAGAGGCCATATACGCCCTTTGTTGAAAGCTGCCACGGAGACTAAAAAAGCCCCGCCCTCTGTCCTTTCCCTTTCAATAGGATGGGGGCGGAGCCCTCTTTCGAGTTTTTCTCTCCCCCCCTCACGCAACCGGGGGCGGGGCTTCGGCCCAACGCTTGGGTGGTTTGACGCATTCCTGTCCTTCCCCTCCCCCACCCATTACCCCCGACCGCCTTCGGTACGCTATATATAAAAACGTTTGCATTCGGTCGTGCTCCGTTTCAACTAACCGGTGATTGCGGCGGTAAGTGGGGGCTGCGCACGCGTGCGGCGGCGTGGGCGGGGTTCGCTGGGGCGGCGTCTCTTGACCCGTTTTCTCGCGAGGGAGGGGGGGAGCGGGGGGGGGAGAGATATTGAGGTGCTCTGTGTATGTGTGTGTACTTGTGTGTGTGTACTTGTGTGTATATACGCATATACACAAATGTGTATATACGTATGTTGCGTGTGTATAATAGTAACTGCTATTTTCACACCCACTTTGCTGATGACCCATTTTCTGGTTGTGCCTAAAGCCTTCAGTTTTCATTGTGTAAGAGTTGTGTAAGTGCAGCGACTTAACCAGCACAATTTGTGGACCCCGCCTCTGAGACTTGGCGCTGCCTGTGCTTGTTTTGAGGGGGGACCTTGCTGATTCCCCCAATGCTAAGCCAAAATTGGAGTGGTTTTGAGCATTGGGAAAGAAGACCACCCGGAAATCTCAGGGCTATATCCGGAAAGAGACAATGATAGACACGTTCTGCCCTCCCCCAGCCCCCCAATAATAGGGGGTGCATCTGTGCCATGGCCAGAAGTGAAGCCTGATTCAAAGGAGGCTTTACCTCTTTTGTTTTTTTGCCTTCTGGGTAGGGTGGGATGGCAGCTTTCATCAGTATATCCAGTGCTGAGGATCCAGAAAGCTGCAGCCCACCAACATTTGGAGGATTATATTGTTTTAAGATAATAGCACATAGACTTATGTACCACTTTACAGGGCTTTTACAGCCCTCTCTAAGAGGTTTACAGAGCATATCACCCCAACAATTTTGGTCCTCATAATGAATACTGGCTCAGCCTTCAGAGTTTTCCATGAATACAATTTCTAAATGTTATTTTTTTGTGTGAAGTTGGCTGGAATTATTAGGACAAATATATAGCATATAGTTTTGTATACAATTAGGAAAGCTCAGAAAGCACAATGGATCCCTAATTACAATAAAGACAGACTTTATTGAGTCAGTCCATTGAGTATCTTGTTAAGTACACAATCTTAATCATGACTGAGTACCAAAGAGGTAAGAGCTTGATAGAAGGTAGATACATTATTTTAGGAGCTTTTGGGAAATGGTTTTATCCATTATTCATTTTCCATCTCGTCTTTAATGTAGGACATAAGTAACACAACAAAGGTTTCCTGATAGGTTTTCCATTTGTAAATCCCTTTATATTTCTGAATGCCTTGCACTGCCAGTTCACCCTGAATTGCTGGTTTCTGA